ACGTGTGCTCTTAAACTTGATACATGTGTAAATAAAAAAAGATCAATAAAACAATTCAATTAAGAAAATTCAAATTTTTAATGTATTTTTCAAAACTTCGAAACTTCGAAAGGTCAAAGCTAACGTCGAAGCTTCAAATATTTAAAGTGAGTAAAAAAACAGCCCTAATTTATACACACCTGAGTGACCATAAATTCAAGCAATGCCTCCAAAAACCTAACGGTTTCATTGTCAAGCGGCTTTTCTCCACTCTGCGGTGGTAAGATAGGCCCACCGTCGACTTGACTGACAGGACACTGATTTGATCCGTTGTCATGAAAAGTACTTTGCCCGAGTTGCGTATCGTAAAATTCTCTCTTATCTTTCTCCTCGGAATTCGCTGCTCTCGCCAGTTTTTCTTTCTTGCCATCTGTCTTACGATCACATTTATAAGGCGACGCTTGGTGCGGCGGGAATCCCGGCACCAGGCTGGCGAACATCTGGTGTATGTGTTCGGGAGCATTCTCGCCAAGAGCTTGATACCACAAAATAAAATATCTGAAACATCAGTTAAAAAAACATCAGATACAAAAATAAATACATTAAATAAATATAACATATATATACTTGTGAGTTGCTGCGCACCTTATAGCTTGTCTACGAAGTTTCCAACTATTACCAGGATGCAAGAGCTTCTGCAAAATCCGTGCTAAACTATGACACTGCCATCGTCTGTTGAGCAGCTCGGGAAGAAGAGTTAAAACTTTTTCCAGAAGTTGCAATACTTGTTCTAACTCTTCCCTGTGTGCCTTATGCACTAGAAAAAAAGTATAGATTAGTTTTTTTTTCTGTATTCAAATCAAATTACATGAGGAATATTTGTGACAAATATCGTGATTAAACTTAATTTAATGAGAGTGGCATTTGCACAAATATTCACACATATAAATGTAATCCAGTCATAAAAAGTTAGTAATGGAGGAGAAATAATCAATGCAATAAAATCAAGCTAGAGTAATATGATATATGACTTACCAATATGGAAGGAAAGCTCTGGGGCAGCAGAATGGGAAGAAATGAAAGAGATGATAATAAAATAATAACGAGTGAATATTATGGTTAATATAAAATTCATTATAAATTTTTTTGAAGACAATGATATTATTGTCAAGTTATATAATTATGCGATATATATTAAAGCATGGAAATCTTTAAAGTTACACAGCATTAGGACAGTTAGCTTTATTTAGTACATTACGTTTTAATATTAGTCTCTAGTTTGCAACTTACCGCGTTGCCGAAGATTTGCTTCGGCGGACACGAAACAATCGTAAAGGATGAAGTACACATGGCTGAAGTTACCCTCGAAAAAGCCTTTCGCCTCGTCAGTGTCCACATTTTCTTCAATATAAAAACAATAATGCGTGTGAATTAATATATATGCAGTTTCTTATATAAAATACAGTCTTGATCATAAGTATAAAGTACTCTCAATTTATTGTAATTTTTGAAAAAGGCAGTAATAAACGCTAAAGAAGGACTAATAAAACATTAAATTTTCATAAAAATAAACATTTTTCTAAAACTGTTTTTATTTTTCGTTAGATATTTTTACGTTAATTTGTGAGAGTATTTTATACTTATGGCCAAGGCTGTATATAATATTCAACGAGACATAATTATTGATTAGATAGAAAAGAAATTTTTTTCTTGCAACACATATGCTTTATAGAGAGGAGTGGTGGAAGTTCTATTACATCACTACTGGTTCTGGATATCTACTTATATAGCAGAATTCCTTTTCTTTTTCCTTATATGTATATAAAAGAAGGAAAGGGAGAGAAAGAAGGAAAAGAGATGTAACATAAATACATATTATAATGTTTCAAAATTCTTTAGTCCAGTAAGACTGAAGCAGATAAACAGAATAGAAATCTAAGGATATAATAGGATATAAGACGTCTATATAAGTACGATCCTAGGAACACACGTGTGCAAAGTGTTTGAAGTTGTAGATAATTTTTATTAGTAGTGCGTATGCAAAGACACATGCAACAACAATGTAACTTTAGCTGGAGACGAAGGCCACAGATTGGTCAATGTGGTCAAGTGGTTTCGGTGATTAGATATTGACTACCTCTCTCATAATACTGTAAAACCACAATCTTGTAACTGCTTGAATCTTAAATCTTTTTCCCTTTTATTTAGAATACACAATGGGCAAATGCTATAACATATATTTTTTCTATATTAAACGAACAGCTGAGAAATAAAATAACATGTGAGTAATATTTTCTCAAATCTCTTAGTAATTTTTTTATATAATTTGTCTAAAAAAAAATTATTAGTCTTGCTTTTAAGATCTGTTAAATATTATATAAAGTATATTTTACATTCCATAAAGAGATGCATATGAAAGTCACGTCTTCTAAAATCTGCATATAACTAGAATTTAATCATTGCAATAATACTTTTATATATTCATAAAATATACCGTTACAAAAATCTCTCGTTAATGTTATTTAAGGCAACTTTGGCTAAATTCGATTAATTTAACTGATAATTAACTTATCAAGTAAGCCTGTGCTATTTTGTTAACACAAATCGAATTATTTCATAAGTTTAATACATAAAAAATATATTAAATTAGGGATAACCAATAAAAATTTTGCGGCGAGCGAGTCTGCTGGTTGAATGAATCAAAGTTTGGTCTAAGTCACCCATAGAGTAATTATTTTATGTGTTCCATTAACAAAACATAAATACGTTCCTCGGCGTTATCTTTTATTTTCAAGAAAAGTCAAAGAGAGTTGCACGAGGTAAACAATTTTTTTCCTCGGCAACGTTGTATACTCTCTCTCTCTCTCTCTCTCTCTGTATATCCAAACGAGGAGAGTAAAAGCTGAAGTGGGACTCGTTGAAGAACGCGATAGCCCCCCAGAACAGTAGGCGGAATTCGAACGAGAGATCCGCTAGAACTTCCCCGCGCTGGGAAACGTTCTCGCAAATATTTGAGGCGTCACCGCGCCAAGCGCGCGTGGGAGCGAGCAAATAGTCCGCGGTAATCGCGATCGCCCCTTCCGCGAAATACACCTGACTCACGACTCAGCCTAATCACGCGGGGCCCCCGTCATCGCGCTGACACGCGTCGTCGTCGCCTCACCTAGCACGATTTTGAGATGCTTGAACCGCGTCGCGCTGTCCTTCTTGACGTCCTGGATCTTGAGCGTCGACTTCTTGACGTCTACATGGAGCTTCTTGCTGAACATGATTCCGAGCCGCCGGCGGCCGCGGGGACAGGCACAACCATCGACGGCGACACCCCAGGATTGCGGTCCGCGTCGATGCCGTCGGGGAAGGGGGTCCGGTTACCTCCGCGCGATCACCATGCCAGCGGTGCGAGGTGCATCGCCCACCCCTCACGTCACGTCGAAGTCGGCGTCGAGCTTTTCGCACACACACCTCCGATCAGATGTACGCGACGGCGGCCATCTTGAGCGCCTCACTGGCCGCGCACGCGCCGCACGCGCGACACGACGCACCCAGCGCTGCGCCAGCTCGGTGGCTCCTCGGGGCAATGACATCATCCGTCATCTAATAAATCTAATTCCCGGAGAACGTGTGTGACGTATCTCACGGAATAAGTTGTCTGAGGGACGTCTCGAGATTTCAGAGATGTGTCATATGCAATTGTCGGAGAAACATCTACTGTGATGTATGTACGTCTTTAGAAAGTTTTTGTCCTGATTTATCATATTTGAGTTTTTTTAAACGTTTCGGCATCCCGGGAAAAAAAGTTCCACGTATAATTATAAATTATATGTATATAATTATATACAAAATAAGTCCATATATATCCATATACATATACATATTTCTTTTCTTTGTAAAATTATATTGTTTGATACAAGAAAAATGATAATAATAAAAAGAAAACAAAAATAATTAAAAGGATAATTTTTGCATTGTTTTTTTTACAAAAATGAGAAAAAATTGTTCATATATAATTATACAATATATGTATATTTTTATATATATGAGCAATTTTTCTCATTTCTTCAAATTTGATTTTTTGTAAAAAAAAAAAACAATGTATAAAAATTATCCTTTTATAATTATTTTTTATGTTTTCTTCTTATTATAATATATATTAAATACGTGCAATAATTGTTTAAATATTGTAAGAATTTTATACTTATTTTGTAATTTGTACTATACGTATAAAATAAGTACGTATAATTAACCGTGCGATGGGGCTTATATATGAAAGAATGATACTTTTACTAATGATCAGCTTTATAACTGCTTTATAATATTATGAGAAAAGACTGAAAAGAATGTATGAAACGAACGTTAACACGAACACATTTTAAATTTTAATTCTGGATATAGCACAGATTCGAACCACATCCATTTTCAACGTTATGATTTTATCAACAAAGTCAGAAAATGGATGTAGCTGAAACACGTCTGTTATCCACGATGGTATTTGACTAGAATTAACGAAACCGTTTTTACCGAACAGCGATTACAACTATAACGATATTCGATTTCACTGGACGCGCGTATCGTGTCGAAGAGCGATGTCAAAAGACTAGTCACACGCGGTTGCTGCGCGATCTCAAAATGAGTTCGAGAGACGAGGAAGCTGATATGGAATTTGCGTTCGTCAAAGAGAACAGTAGAAGTCAGCAAGAGAAGGTGAAGGCGTTTTGGAAGTTCTTAGACGCTCAGAATTGTTTGCAACCACAGGAAGGTATTACGTGATCAAAAATATATTTATTTTTGGTAATTTAGGTTATCATACTCTGTAAGAATATTTCTGTCATTTTACAGAAATTTTGCGTATCTTATAAAATACGTGCGCGTATTAGTATCAAATTTTTGTCGTAAACGCATTTATTGTATAATATTGTACGGCAATGAAGAAAAATTGTATTTTGTAATTAATTACAAAATACATACCACGCGTACGTGTCGAATCGTTTGACATTCGTTATCCTCATATATGTAAAAGGTGATCCATACACGAAGAGAATTTTTTTTTTAATTTACCTTACAAATCATGTTAATTGTGAGACAATATTAGTATTTCGGCTAAATGTCACTGTGCACTACAATAAATTTTACTGTAAAATCTTATTGTAGTGCACATTAAAATTTGCCTAAATACTATATTGTCCCACAATTAACATGATTTGCAGGGTAAATTAAAAAAAATTTTCTCCGTGTATATTTATATTAGAACACACATTTTTATGTTATGTGTACAATGGTTTTAACATGCACTGATTATAAATGCGCACTCGTGCGACCAACCGAACTTCGCTAACATTTGCCTAAATACTATATTGTCCCACAATTAACATGATTTGCAAGGTAAATTAAAAAAAAATTTTCTCCGTGTACTTACTTCATTTTTCTTGTAAGTACGTCTCAGATACTACCATCTCCAAAATCGGGAAGATATTTTTTTAAACATGCTGTTTGGAGAGTTCGAAATTTTATAAAAATAGTCAATATCAAACAAAATTCCAAATTGATTAAGAAATATTTAAAACTGATTGCTTATAATATTTTGATGCGCGAAGGAGTACTGGAGCGCGAGTCGCTACCAGAAACGGAAACGTCGATGTCGAGCGTGGAGGAGTTCATGAAGGAGAAGGATATTTGGCGCAAGGGGCTGAAAGTTTTCCAACGACTCGGCCTGGACAAAACCGCTCTCGCGGCTGATAACAGATGCGAATTCTGCCTCGCACACAAAACGATTAAACGACAGTACGGTTAGTGGAATGACTCTGTATAGAGCGTTAGGTAAACCAGTATTTTTCCTGATGATCGCAGATGCGATCCTCTGAACCGACCTGAGAATCTAGACGACACGGTGATGCAACCGTATGAGGAATTGAACGCTGATATGAAGGCTTTCGAGCAGCGTCTGAAAAGTCAGCGCGAAGCGCCTTACGCTTGTGACAAATCAAATCCTCGGTGCAACTCCAGTCATATGTAAAATCGAAAAAATAATTGTATACTTGTACGGCCGACGTCTTTCTTCGACTTGCGCGAGAATGGTCTTTCTTTGATTTACCGCGACGAAGTTCCAATTTTTCAATCGATTTTTAATCATTCAAATTCTAGCGGTTTAACAAATTTATGCTTATTTATGAAAATTATAGGTTTTATAATAAGGAATAATAATATTGTTTTGTTAATATTTTGATATATAACTAATAAAAAATAATATAATAATTTTGCATGTACTTACAAAGGCGCGATATATCTGTTTTGGCATTGTCCAATTTTTTTATCTTTGTAGAAATATCTTTTGTATATAAAAGAAGTAATACATTCATGCTCGACGAGACGGTACATACTATCGATTTAATCTATTTTCAAAAGAAATTGATAAATTTCTATTTGCTATACATTTTTTAAGTTTTTCTTGGCATCAATATTAATCGAACGTGTAAATATATTTTTTTAATTTTTTAATTTTATATTTATCTTATATTTATTTATAGGATCAAAAAAGGGAAAATGAAAGAAAAAAAATATATATATTTGTATTCGAAGCCCGGGTCTGCTCTCGGCGGCCTTGAATAAGAGATTGGTCCATATTCATACTACTTTTTATCAATAAATGCGTTTATTGATAAAAATGATTATTTTTGAGATTCTGTACATGTAAAGTTAACTATAACGCGCTAAATGCGCGTTTAAAGGGGCATTTATCGATAAAATTAAGATACACGGAAAAAACGATTTTGTTGAAAGGTTTAAAAATTTTGCTAAAAACATATCTGAAAATTATTTTTTGTTGAATCATCAAAATAATTTGTTGGTATGTTAAAACTGATAAGTATTGCTATAAAACGTTTTGATATTCTATAGCAATTATTTTGACTTTCGCACAAAATTATTTTGATTAGTGAGCAAAAATTATTTTTAGATTTGGATTCAGCAAAATTGTTCTTTCCGTGTATGAATACGGACTATTGTCTTGTAGCGAAGTTCGGTTGGTCGCACGAGTACGCATTTATAATCAGTGCACGTTAAAACTGTTGTACACATAACATAAAAATGTGTGTTCTAAATATAAATATAAAAACGGCTATAATTAAAGCAAAATTCTTATATTATTTTATTGTATTATTTGGTACAATATGTGTTGAGCATTTTGTCATTTGAGATGTTTCACTTTTACCCTGAGAACAGTGTACATAAAGGCATAAATATGCACTCAACAATCGCACTGACCGCGCGCCTTTAAACAACGATATCAAAATCGACGTAATCGATGGCAAGAGAATTACCGCGTATAATAGGACTGAGAAATGTTAATTAAGTTAACAAAGCGCATGGCTAACAGACGTATAATAAGAAATGCTTCGATGATCCGACCACGCGCTTTTAAATTGCCGTCGAAGGCTGCAGCGTATCAATCGCGACGTAGGTAATCGATGATTACGAGAATTACAGCGTTTACAATACCAACGCGATACAACGGGGGCCATGCAGCTCTCCGGCGGAGGTTGCCGGTCGTTTAATGGAATTGGAACGGGCCGGAATATGGATGAGTAGGGTAGCGCACATCCCGAGGTACCGCGGTGTGGTGTATCGAATTTCCTTAGTCCAGGAGGTCGACGTTGTTTCGAGCAAGGTGCGCCGCCACGGGAGCTACCCATGAATGGACCCTGAATGCACGTCCTTACGCGACATCTGGTCTCCTGGGCCGACGACGTTGTCTTCTTATTGTCAGTCGCCCGTCCGTACAAGCGGGATATTTTGCGCCAATCGAGGACATCGCTCGATTTCCTCGAAGTCTACGATTGAGGTGCACGACGCGACGAACCCCGCCTCTCTTACGATTTTTAAGGACATTGATTTAAATCGAATTTGCTCGAGAAACTCTCAAAGAAACTGATCGGACCACTGCGCTAAATCTTTCAAGCATTGTCGCAGCGCTGTTTTCAAAAATGATAATAATGCAGAAAAAACCGACGTTCGCGTATTGATATTTTAAATTTTTTAATAAAATATATATCTTTTCTGATCTTGCGATTGAACCGCAGTCGAAAAACTCCGATAATACTGTTCTAAAAGCACGATATTCTATTTTATTTTACTTTATTTTCCATTATATAACTTGTAAGCGTGCGTATATATTGGCACCAAATAGCAGAAATTTGATTTAATTTTATAAATATATATATATCGCTCGATATTTATATTTTTTATTAAAAAAAAAAAGAAGAATGTTATCACTTTGTTGTTATGTTTGGAAATTAGATCGGAGCACATTGTAGCGACCGCCTGGAGCAAAACGTAACCGGAAGTCTAGCACGGTCAAGCAGTTATCGGCACCGTCAGCATTATCCTTCCATGAACAATAATCACAGGCGCACGATCGTTTGTGCGTCGTAGGGGGCTTCCGTTTCGCTTCGATCTTACGTTCTCCTTTTTTTTTTCTCCTACTCGTGCCATTACGCGCGGACCATTTGTCTCCCGTGGAACGAACGGTCCATTGTCTCGTAAGTCTCTCGATCGGCCGGGACCGCGCCGGAAATCGGCCATCGAAAACCGCGCCCGTACGCCCGCACGCACGCACATACGTATACACTGTGTACGCACGTCGCAATGTGTATATCTGTATAATCGCATAGAAGCGATCCGATAACTATTTCGGTCGGGGCGAATCCCTCGAAATAGTCGTTATCACCAAAGCTCGTGTAAATAACATAATACTCTTAAATATAGGATCTAAATTATGAAGAGTAAGATTTGGAATTGGCACATCGTCGGTTACTGCGCATGGCGCAATTATTTACGAGGGCTAAATAGGACATGTGCTTAGCCGTCGTTAGTCAAGTTACGTACAAAACGGTCAAATCTAATTCTCGATGATTCCTATACGTTGAGTTATACGAGACGTATGTCCAAATATAACGTCGAGAATCCCGCAGTAATTAAGTTTGTAGTTATTGGAACGCTAGACTAATATTGCATGACTCGCAGACGATCTCAGCGATCAGAGAACTTCATTTGGGAGGGAATATGAAATATGAAAAAATAAGAAACGTGATCATAAAATCACGCAATTTACGCAAACTGTAAAAATTAATTAGAAGATATCGAAGGTGACGTAGGAAAATGAAAAGAACGCGCGCGAAGGATAAACTGCAAACAAAGCATATCTTAAACATGTATCGATATACATATATCTATATCTCCATACAAAGTTATAACGCAGGAGAGTTTTAGGATTTATTACTTGCGCATACAAGCAACCAGGAAAATTCGTTTGATATGTTTACAACAGTTTTGCAGCGTAACAATTAATAACGCAGCGTGATAATTTACGACGCATGTCAAGTGCTGCATTCAATTGATTATACACACCACATTACACTTATATTTTCATAAGCGTTGGACATTTTTACCACTCTGTTTTAATTAATATTTGAAAAAAAAAACGAATGAATTCTCTTGGATATCTATAATGCTGCTCTACTTGCATCCCCGGTGTGTACGTACTTTTTTTTGCGTCATATAGTTTAGTTGCATAATTTATGGTATCTTCGCGTGCACCGCATCCTCGCGTATCTCCGATCCATATATATACATATAGTCCTGACATATCGCACGAGAGGTGCATCCGTATAGCCTCGTCCTGATTCCTCTCCCGCGAATAGAGCCGCACCTGGAGCATAATGGACGCGCCGATGGAAGAACAGACAGGGGCACGAAAGGGGCGAACGTACAGAGACAAAAGCACGAGAGGTAAGAGAGCGATCGAGAGGTAGTACAAAAGGAGCAGGAAGAACCTGGACGAGTAAAGAGAGGGGGGGGGAGAAAGAGAGGAAGGGGTGGATGGAGGGGAGAGAAAGAGAGAGAGAGAGAGAGAGAGAGAGAGAGAGAGAGAGAGAGAGAGAGAGAGAGAGAGAGAGAGAGAGAGAAGGTGGGTGGAGAGAAGGAAAAGAGGAGAGAGCGTAGAGTCCCGTTGACGGAGATTCGACGAAGCAGCAATGTTTAATCGGTGTTGGCCCGCATCAGGTTGATCGAGGACCCCCCAATCGGGTGTTGGAGGACGACGTGGGCCCGTGACGACGGCATAGGGAGGTCCGGAGCAGCACAAGCGGAACCGGGGAGAGGCTGCGCCGTGGAGCCGATCAGGCGAACAATGGAGGCGGGATGCTCATTTGTCTGCGGGCATTGTTGTTCACCCGGCCGGAAACACGAGCCTCGTACTCTCCTTTTCCCCTCTCTATCGTCGTTTTCCATCTCTGTCTATCCACGTATCCCTCTCGTCCTCACTCTTCTTCTCTCTCTCTCTCTTTCTCTCTCTCTCCCCCTCTCTCTTCCTCCCTCTCCCTCTCTCGTAGTCGCGTTTGCCATCCGTGCATCCTCCTCCTCCCCTCTTTCCCGCCGTAGCTTTTTCCAGTACGAAAGTACCGCGATGATTCCGCCAATCGTGTCGCTCGACGTCCGCAGGTCGATGGTGCAAAAATTCGGGATAACCGTTTCCACCATGTTCAACCGCGAGTCGACGCACAATGTTGAATGTGTCGGTCTCGTCCGCTGACTTATCGATCGGCGGAAGCTCATACATCGGGGTCCCGCGATGCGTGATTTACGAGAGATTCCTAAGAAAAAGAAATCTTTCCTTGCAGGCTGTGAGGGGAAACAAAAGAACAGGGCCAAAGCTGCTTGTCAAGCATTCAATTTGCGCGCTGTTATACAGCATCTAATTTTTTTTCCTTTGATTTGACATATAGATTTGCCTAAATTATATCGGTTTGCCGAGAGTCGCCAAAGAGATCTCGTAATATATCTATAATGACCACATGGAGAGAATTTTTTTAAAAATTTACTCTGCAAATCATGTTAATTGTGGGACAATATAGTTAGGCAAATTTTACTGTGCACTACAATAAATTTTATTGTATTTTACTACTGTCAAATTTATTGTAGTGCACAGTAAAATTTTCCTAAATTCTATATTGTCCCACAATTAACATGATTTGCAGGGTAAATTAAAAAAAAAATCTCTCCGTGCACGATCCGCTATACTTAAGGACGTAAACAATAATAATCAGGACGACGCAACAAATAATGAGTTCGTTAATTCGAGCGCAAAAGGTCATTTCTTACTGTCGTCTAAAATGAGATGATACATTATTGAAAGATCCGATTAATTTTGATCTTTTGACGTTAAAGATATCCAATGATACCCGTACACGCCGACGCAAATGAGCGTCGATTCGACGTTAATACTTGTTGATTAAATAATACTTGCGTGGTATCGAGGGGTAAAAGGGGCTGAATTTTATAAGAAAGGTCAGCCGGTGAAGTACACGGAAAC